CCAATATTACCCCAATATATACCCTTTAATTGCTATTATTAGTACCGGCCTCCAGATAAAGAAGCTCCAGGACCTCCTGGTCTGTCTGGCCCTGCTTCATGCGCTCGTCTTCCCACCAGCGCTGAAGGAAGCCCGAGCTCCACTGGGACCTATTATAATAGGGTATAAATATTGGGGTTATATAGGGATAATGGAAAATCAAATGGAAACTACAGGGATTATAGAGGTTATATAGGGATTATAGGGTATAAATATTGGGGTAATATAGGGATAATGGAAAAGAAAATGGAAACTACTATAGGGATTTCAGCCGTTAACTTCCCGCACGGCGCGTGTTGGAAGTCTGCAAATCTGATGCAACGATGCATGTGAAAGAAGAGTCAAGGTCTGAGTGCTTCTAAACCATAAGAAGATCATCTTGCCAAGTATTCAGGCTCCTGCTAGGCTACTGGGGGCCTCCGGATGAGGATGACATCCGCATTGAAGAGAGACATCGAGTTGCCCGCTCGTCCGTTCGGATCCCGAGTGATGATGATCTGGCCAGGATGGGCCAGGAGCTTCCAAAGCCACAGCAGTGCACTGGCTGCAGCTTTGCCAGACAACAGACCATTATCCTGAACAATACGTTTTTGGTCTTTTGAGCTTTCAGGACTGAAGGTTCTAGCCCTAAGCTAAAAGACAGAGTCAAGGGATCCTTTGCATGGTAGAAATAAACTGCATCCTGCCTGGGTTTGCGGAGTCGCATAGTGCCGAATCGTCTGCCTGCCCTAAACCAGACACACTCAAGAGTAGTTTCCATCTAGTTGTCCGTTTTCGTTTCCATGTGATTCTCCATTCTTGGCAGCAATTAACACCCCTACAGTCTGCAATGGCAATCCAAGAAGCAATTTCAGGTGGCCAGCAGTCTTGCATTTCGTGGATCGACCTGCCTCTCTGGAGAACCAGATGGAAAAGAAAATGGAACATGAGATGGAACTAGGATTTTCCGTCTGACGAGAGTGGTCACATGTATCCATGGGTCTTGCCGCAGAAAGACACAACACACAGGATGGATCGCTAGACCATTTGCAGCAACAACAGCAGTCCCTGTGAAGGCAACACCAAACACTTGAGAACCTCCAAAAACAGACGGGCAACTCATCCCACTTTCCCACGCCCCTTTCGGGATCTAAAAACTAAAACGTCTTGGGATTCCGCAGGTCCGGGCATCTACATGGCAGGAGCACGAGTTGTCCATTGAGGGCGCTACTCTCGTGTGGACTTGAAATTTCGGGGCCTGAGGACGTCTCTGTCGAAGTCCACGATGGCTGCGTCTGCACCGATCCACAGTATCCAGGACTCCTAGGCGTTTCTCAGGATCAACCACTAAACAACGACTATATACTTCCGAAACGGCTTCACGTAGTTTTACGCAAGGCGATTCAGGATTCATCGGAGTTTTAGGTCTGGGGTTTGGTCGTCCTGTGCAGAAGGCAATGGCAAGGTTTCGGCCCAAAAGCTTCTGGTAAGAGCGTAGGAAAGCCTGATTGGTTTCGGCCTTGCCTTCCTTAACAAATGAGCCAGCTGCCAGGAGTTTCATGGCAGGAGCAGACCCTCTGATGTCTGATTGGTTCTGCTCGCTCCTCAAGGTTAGCGTGGCCCTGGGTCCATCCTGACGGATATCTCTAGAGAAGCATCTGCTCAAAGGAGCGCGCGTTCCGTTTCCCTATGGATTCCTGAGGTTCAGGGTAGAGATGGCCACGGCCGGCAACAGTTCTAGGACTTGGCGCGGGACGCTGGTTACACATTCCTACCTTCAAAGTCTCTGTCCGAAGGCTGCTGATTGGCGTAGTTTAGTCTCTGCATTGCTTTGTATCCAAGCATCCTTGCTCTGGTCTTAGGATATCAGAGATATCACATAACTGCTCTGAGCAGGTGGGCTTGCCATTAGCCACACCCTGACTTGCAGGTTCAAGGTAGCCAGAGTCTTAGCCATGACTGCACTCATGTGACAGCTCGCCTTGCCGACGATGCTTAGGAATCGGATGCCACTTGGTGTAGCTCAGACTGGGCTACATGTCTTGGATCTCAAACAAAGTCCGTGAAGCGAAACAAGCTGGCTCTCAGAATAACATCTTTTTTCAACTGAAACGTACAGCAAAGACCTGAAAGCTCTCCACAAGAGAAGTTTCTTCATAAACTTCATGTGCAGCCCCAACACTGCCCACCTGGTAGCACGAAACCCTCAGGTTATCATGCCTTCTCAGCTCCCGGCCCCCTCAAAACCCCTGCAGCAGACTCACACAAACCTGAGCTAGAAACCTAGGTATGCATGTAACAAGACACTTTTCCCGGTCTTCCTTAAAACATATCATGTGTCACAACTTGGTCTAGTCGAGTATTCTCTTACCGAATGCTAGGCAAGCAGCCGTCACGTTGGGATGGTCCACCCAGTGCCTTGCGAGACTTAACATGTTGAGGTCTCACGGTTTGGGGTTTAAGGCTCTGGATTTTTCAGATTGCAGTTCCTGGTGTAGAGCTTGACTTTTTTGTCGAGGCTTGTTGCGCAATCTTCATGGAGCAAGCCGAATGAATCACGCATGTAGGAGGCCGGATACTGGGGTGCTGCAAAAGCTTTTTAGTGCTGTTCCCGTCTATCAAGTCAAGAGCAACTGCGCAATGAATGGTCCATGAAGGCCTATGTTATTGGACTCTGCGCCACAAGCTAAACTCAACCGAAACCCCAAACTCCACGTCCTCCAGCCTTGACATGTAGACTGTAGACCCTGAATCCTCAGAAACTAGGCCTAAGTTTCCTCCAACCAACTAAGACCAAAAGTATGCTCAAGGTGCTTCTTGACCAAGACCTTGGCATTTTTCACGTCGACGCCTCAGGGGTTGCCAAAGGGTCATCAGCGGATTCCGGCATGATCCAAACAGGAGCAGGGATCAGCTGAGTTGGGCAAAACATGTGAGAGGTAGGTACTGACTGAAAGGGCCATTCCAGGCACGGACCCATGTAAGCATGTCGGATGTCAGCTGCCTCCAGAAGCACGCGCACGTTCATCGATGATGAACGAGTGGTTGAACTGCCGAGCCCAATTTGCCTCATGAGAGGGAGAATAGACTCGAAAATCGTTTTGGCATGTCAAAATGCAATCACAGACACAATCCAACAGGCAGCTTTCTGGAATGGAGTCAACCAAGCGCAGCAAATCTTTCGTCTTCTGGGATCCCTGAAAAAACCCGAAATTTTGATTGCAGGCGAGCTGCATTCAGAGGGAGCGAATACTGGGCAAACTCGTGCACGTGCTTCGTCGCGTACCTTTGCCAAATGTGAGCCAATATCGGTATTGTCCAGAATCATGGCAGCATTGGCAGTACTAGCACCCTGTCAAAGTCATGCGATATCATGCCACGGCTTGCTGCCTCAATTCTGGGTTGCGTTCCAGTAGGTATACTGGTGGTCGGAGAATGTTGGGATTGTCCTCTGAGGTCGTGAGATGCTTCACAAACACTAGAAAGGACGAAACATAATAAACTGCATTACTCAAGAAACCCTAAACCCTACGGAAATAGTAGCTTCCATTTTCTTTTCAATTGTCCCTATACATTCCCTATATCAAATAATATAACCCCTGAATAAACCCTACTGCAGTGTGAGACGATGTGATGACGCCAGCACTCACCCTTGTTCAGCGAACCAAGCTCCAGAACGTCAACGGAAGAGGTCCTTACCCTTGTCTGCATGCAGCATTTCCTCTGCCCAGAATTGGCTTTTCACAGCCGCCAAAATTCTGTCAAACTCTTGCAAAGTGCTTTGCACTTCCAGCTGCATAGCTTCCTCGCCCAGATTATTTCGGAACGCTTTGAGCTCCTCCTGGAGCTGTTTGCGGTACATGCGCGTATGCGGATTCTTAGTGCCCTCAATTTGGGCTCGGAGATCCCCTGCACGCTTGAGAAAGGAAACAGACTTCCTGATGTTCTTCTGGTCGAGGAATGCGTTGTACACATTCCAGTGTGCAACAGCATACCACACGTTAACCTTTTCCACCCTGTGCTTCTCAAATTCACGACTCGCTAAAAGAAAGTACTGCTGCGCTGCATGAAGCGATCTTGCGTCTCTGCGAAGCTCGTGCCGGGTTCGCTCGACCACTCCCATCACGCGCATCGCATTCCCCAGGTCAGCATCCTCCAACTCTCGCGAGTAGCCAGCAGCTTTGCGCGCCGCTGAAAACGCGCTGCTCAGTGGATCTACATTGTCCACCTCCTCAAATACAGTCTGCCTGGAGACCAAGTTTGCCAGAGTGTTTGCTTTCAGCAACAGGGCTTGAGCAAGCAAGCGTTTGTCGGCTGAGACCATGTCCTCAAGCTTCTTCATCGTCTTCTTTGCGCCTTCATAGGCTCTGCGCATGTCCACCTCGAATCGATCTTTGTCACATGCTGTCGCATTCAAAGCCTGTGACTCAACTAGGACAACAGGGGCTGACCTCAAAATTTCCTCTGGAACGAAAGGCAAAGCCGCATTCCATTTACCACGTCTAATGAACCTTGCCATCCTTTAAGCAGTTCTTGTAGACTCCTCTTCGAAGTCTTCCTTGCCGCGGAGATCAGTGTCAGTCTCAACATCACCCTCGTGTCCACAGCGTTTGCAAACTCCTGCGTCCTTCGCACAATTGAAACACAGGACATCGCGAACTGTACGTTTGCAGTTCAAACATTTCAGCCGCCTTTTGGTCCTTCCTGTGCACACGGAACAAGGAGGGAGTTCCGCTTCAGGATCACTGGACGACGCAGTGATACTGGCCATGGAGTCTTTTGGGCCAGGCTGCAGCAGCTGAGCGAAATTGACTGGCCTCCTCTGTTCGCGATCACTGCATGGTACATTGAACATCATACAACAAAGGAACCCAGGGAAACCGGAATATGCAGTAGGCATCACCCGGAAAAAATACAATGCTTTGTCTTGCAACTGCATGAAGCTTTTCCGTTAATCATAAGCACAGACACACGAGCGCTCGAATACTACAGCAGTGTATAGTACGCTCTTAAGAATACCAGTACTAGTAATACTAGTAATACTGTTAATAGTAACAGTAAAATAGTGATAGCAGTAAAGTATTCTACCAGCGGTCCCATCTCATCGAGGCGCACGTCACGATCAAGGTCCTGAGCTCGTCAACAGGCGCACCAAGGGGTGGAACAGTACCTTCCACCATGAGGCTCTCACAGCCGTTTCTGCTGATTGGACGAATGCGCCAGCCCTTTGCTAGTTGTGGCACCTGGGGCCTTTGACTCTGAGCGATAGCTTTTAGTTTTAGTGGCCTCCTCGAGAATTGTGATTGAAAAATCCTTACTACTCAGGAATGCTCATGAGCGCAAAGGTGGATACCTCGCGTCAGGTAACTGTGCAAATGAGAACTTTTGCAGGCGTGCGCGGTATTCAAAGTTGATGCGGTTTGCAAGATTCAATCTGAGTTGAAGACAACGGCGGTATTGATGCGGCTTGCAAGATTCCATCTGAGTTGAAGACAACGGCGGTATTGTTGTATTGGAAATACCGTTGTCCCTCTCGGAAAATGTTCAGCTGCAGCACAAGCAACATCATAATGTTGTGTTTTTGGCATGTTTCCTTCTTCTTATTCTCGTGGCAACCCGCAACATCCTCGCACGAAGTGTCAATTTTTCATCACCCATCATGTCTCATTGTTGATGTATTTGAGAACGAATTTATCAAAGCCTGCACAACCAGAATGAAAGGGATCATCATGCAAAGCCCAGGGACCTGAACCTCTGAGGCCTGAAAACACCAGACTGTCTACACCAGAATTCTGGTACAACCCCAAACCCCCAGACCCTGCCCTGAACCCCTGAAACATAAACCCTCCAGATGCCCTCAAGTGCCCTCTTGGACCCCCCACGATTCGCGCAGCCAATCGCCGAGGACGCGGACGCCTCCGAGCAGCAAGCGCGGCCTTGCGGGATGGCAATGGTTTCACAGGCCCAGGGACTTTCAACGTATGGGTTAGTGGGGAATCAGGGAATATAAGCCCTATGTAATGCCTATTTTCCCAAATTCTCTACCAACCCGCAGTAAGGTTGAGTGTGTACAGTTTAGGGTCCTCCCGGGTTTAGGGATCACCCTCTTAGGATCCACTCACTCTGCCGATGCCAACTACCTTGAACTAATGCCTAAACTTTCACAACGAAAGTCTGGCAACCCCGACCACCTATGGAGAGACCCACTGGTTCTATGGCTTTTTGAGCTGTGGTTATACGAGGCAGCGCTTTTTGTGGTCGACATCTCCACGCAAGCCAATCTACAGTACTTACTAGAGTGCAAAACCGAGATGTACAGTCTGACTCTATTGGCTTGTGCGGTGATTTGTTGGGGCATCTGCAACTGCTTAAAAGAGGCCTGTATGAAGCTCACAGATATTGTTGTGGAATCACAAAAATTTGTTGTTGACCGACGGCCTTGTTTCTACAGTAGAAATCGTTTTCTGGTGGGCTGCGATGCTAGGGATTCCAGGCTCTGCAGGAGATGGTGCTAACTCCTGAACTGTTCTTGGTTTGACGACAGAACCAGAAAACAAACCGACAACAGGCAGAACTTGCCCTTTCATGACAACTGTTGAGAGTTGAGTATGCCTGCCAAGAGAATCTATAACCCCTATATACCCCTATATATACCCTACATAACCCTTTAGATCCCTACATAACCCTGTATAAACCCTATGAACCCCTACATACGCACAGTTGCGCAGCAGTGATATCCTTTGCCACTTCGTCCCCTTCGCTGCGGGAAGCGGCGCAACTGAGAGTAAATGGCAGTTTGCCAAAATAGGGGGGATTGCACTATAGACCCCAAATACTGTCATCCTTGTTATAGGGAGCCCCCAAAATGGTACCCTAATTTTTGGGAAGCCCTTAAATCCCTAGCCCCCTTTTGAAGACATCTCGCCAGGCCTCACAGCCAATCCAACTGACCCGGGGTTACATTGCGGAATTTACACTTAACCCTCTATACGGGATAAGGTTTAGTGTTTAAGGTTTAGGGATTAAGCCCTAAACCCTGAACCTTAGTTAAAGCATCACTCATACGTTCAGTCCTTACGTCCTAGCGGCACGTGGTTCTCCAACCACCCTAGAACACAAGTAGTCCTCTCCCCCTAACAATCAACCCCGGCACCCCCATAGTAATAAATACTCCCCCCTAACATACAAAGTTACTAGATTGGGGGATTTACCCGAACATATGAAGGTAGTACATTGGGGGATATTTATTAGGTTAAGAAAGTTAGAGGGCTACAGCACTGTCTTGCAAGCGCTGAGGTCCTGACATTTCCTTGGTTGGTGATCTGCACTGCAAGCACATGACGTATATGCATACTTCTAGAAACAGTAGTCCTCCAACTCACCCCAAAATATCATGAGCCCTTGCATAGGTACTCCATGGTACCCCAAAAAAAGATCCCAAAATCTTTGTCTCGCCCTAAATCCCAGACCCTAAATCCTGGAGCCACCGGTCCGGCCTCCAGAATCTAAGGCGCTGTCCTCCGCAGTCAAGTCCTGCAGGCAAGCTGTCTGGGAGGTAGCAGGGCTTGGCAACCCCGGGGCATGGTTGAAATAAGGGCTTCGAAACATTGGGGGTCACATTAGGATTATGGAATTTGGGGATCCCCGATTTGTGGAGACTCCCAAATAGGGTTCAAGGCTCCATGTCATGTAGCTTTTGACGGTTTAGGGCATCGTGGGTCGGTGGGTTGCGTACTGGCAGATTGCATTTTCTGGCGGCTTATACAAGGGCACGTCCAGTTGGAGAAAAGATTAGAAAAGAAGCATCCATTGCAGATGAAGCATGGGCGTTGGTCGACTTCAATAAGAGATCCAGAACAACAAGCTTTGACAACTACCCCTGCCGCCGGCCGTCGTCATTCTACGTAGATAACCTCGCAGATCCGAGAAAACCCGTCTGATATTCCTGATAATGTAGACCCTCCTTTTAAGGGCCTTAATATTGGGCTCCCTATTTTTTTCCCTATGGAGGAGGGGGATTTGGTAATAAGGGGTCTACATTATCCCGGGCATTCTCAACATGATGGCATCAGGCCCCGCTCCGTCGCGGGGAGCTCTTCTGGGTAGTCCCATGTGAATGGCACTGCCATTGAAGCATCATCCCATGTGCCTTGGCATCGACCCCCAGCCCTAGGGTAGTTGGGGCTTAAAGCTCTGAGTAACCCAAACAGGGACCCTAATCCTAACATCACGAGCCCTCACTCAACCCTGAATCTTTTCCCCAATCGTTTGGGCCAGTACCCCTGGTGTCCAAGGAGTAACTCAGGATCTGACCCGTCACAGTCTCCTCCATGGCCTGGGACCAAACGAAAGGAAGCCCATATAGCCCCCGTTGAACGAACAGTTTCCGTGCTGGTTTGGGGAGGACATGCTAACAGAAAAGCAATAATAGCAATAACAGCTGAGCCCTAACCTACAAGTGGTTAAGAGGGGAATAGGGGAACATAGTATAGGGTCTACGGTTTAGGGTTTACCTGGCCTTTGGTTAGCAAGCTCTCAGGTGCACAGTCATGGTTCAATGTGGTCTCGAACGCGAAAAACGCATTGCTTTGGGAGAAGGCGCTTCCGGATGATGACACTGGCCACTGGGGGAGGGTGCGGGAGATGCTGCCGGGAACCCTGGGCACACTATCGGAAAAGCCAAGAGCAGTAAGACAATGTGACACCAAAACGCAAGCAGAACCGCTTTCATATCCCACCGCAGCCTTCTGTGAGAGAGTGTCAGGGTGCTGTCCCGCGTCGCTCCCCGAAGGGCTCAAACGTCAGGTCATCACTCGCTATGACACTTCACAGACAAGCTGGTCAGAAACTATTTGAGGTTCAAGGTAAAGTGGTCCGCCAGATTTTGGTGTCATGTCGCTCAAACAAAGAGGAGATTACGAACTTTGCTTCGGCCCATGGACTGGCATGCTTGCAGTCTGCCTTCCGACGCTGCCGGCATTCATACTTGAATGTCTCATGCTTCCTGTGTGCTATTGCAGTCGCGAACCCATCTCTGATGCTACTGTATGCTGCTATGAGCTGCCATGACACCGATTACAGGATGGCCCTGAGGAATGAAAAAGAGCTCCCAGAAAAGCTAGCAGATTCGATCGACAAACGTAACTTAAAGTCATCGTGCTTATCACGCGCCACCCATTTCCAGCGATGAAAATGACATGTGAGGAAACATGATGTAACCTGCAGAGATCTGCAGAGCATCATCCAAGGTAATGAAATATGGTTGTTTCCCAAAATACGGGGACCCCAATATAGACCCCAAAATACTATAGTCCTTACTATGGGGACCCCCAAAAAAGTACCCCGAATTTTGGGAAACGCCCATATCAGAATGATGACATGTGCCGAGCTTCCTTCCTTCCTTCTTTCCGGTTTTCTTTCTACCGTCCTTCGTGGCTTCTGGTTTCCTTCCCTCCTTTCTCCCTTTCTGCCTTGGGTTGTCCTTACTTGAGGTCTGATTGTTGGCAGGGGGAGGAGTTTCTTTGCGATTTCTCTCTAGTAAAGTATGCCGATTCTCCATGATCCTCACTATTGGATTGTTTGTGAATAGTGAGTTATCTAGGCAGTACTACAAGGATCCATGTCTGCATTCCTAGCTAATCAAAGGTAGTTAAGAGAGAATAAGGGAATATCTTGATGCTATATGCGGATACTGGAAAAGAAAATGGAAACTACCACATTATAATAGGGCATATAGTATTCCAATATAGGGGTTATACTTCGGAATAGGGGAATACAATCCCCATATACTCCCTATTTTGTAGATTCGCTCATTCCCTACTTACTCCCAGTGAGCTAATGAATCTTGACATAGGTGGACAGAAAGACCCCCCAGTCAAAACGTGAGACAACACTGCGGGCAAAGAGATTCATTAGCTATGATTATTAATATTACTACTGCTATTACTGTTACGACTATCCAGTTATTACTGTCATTACGATTCTTATAGTCTTACTGCTATTATTACGATTATTGCTATCGATGAAGCCTCCTCGACATCAACGAAGAGCTCTTCGATGTTAAGACCTTCACTTTTCTGGCTGACATATGAGCTATAGTCTAAACTCCTCAAAGGGGGTTATATAGGGGTTATATGGGGGAGTATTACAGGGATTCTTAAGGGGGATATGATACTAGGAGTTTAGACTAAGGCTCACACGGCCAAATATCAACTTTGGGGATCCGCTTTCTTTATCATACAGTATCCAAAACAACAGCATGATGATCCAGATGCACCAGCACGTCGCCGCTTGTGAGCAGGCTGCCAATCCAAAGGATCGGTTCCCCAGCCATCAAGGAAGCACAGTCACAAGATCGTGAATACTAGAAAACCAAAACAATAGCAGGACGCCGCATGCATTGCAAACAACATCAACAGCTGGAATTCCGACAAGGAAACCGTAGCAGTCATGGCAAGTGCCACGAGGCAGAGTACATTCCAACTAAGTCAGCAACGGTCCGGGAAAATCAGCAACGGTCCCGGGAAATGTCTCGTCAATTTTCGCAAACAATCCTAACAGCAGCAATTGCATATTCATACTGGCTGCCCTTCCGAGCCTAGTTAAGCAGGCTTTGTTCTTCTAAGGGGCCCAACCTAGGATCCTAGTCTCAACATATCATGGGGGATGCTATGAAACACGCATAGTTCTTCCTGAACTATGCTGTGAGGTGGCCTGCCAGTTCCTTGCGAATGAGCTGCTCCTGGTATGAACGGGTGTGGGAGAACTGAGGCGCGTGGTGGGCGTTCATGGTTTTATGTGCGTGGGGCTCGCGCTTAGGATTTGGGGGCCTTACTTTTCCGAGATTTGGGGTTGAGGAGATTATTCTGACCTGGAACCCTTCCACCAGCTCTGCCTAGCATGGTATAGCAGGATCAATCTTGATAAGCTCGCTGCGTAAAACATGTTCAAGGTCCAATCTGTGGCTCCCATACGATGCTCATGGACTCATAGCTTAGCTAGACTTGCAAACCCTTTGCTTCCTGCATCCTGTACTCCCTCACCATCTTTCCACATCTCTGCCTAGCCTCCTACCCGCCCGCATCACTAAGCATCGTAGCCCTATCGTAGCGTTGAAAGACGAGCGAGGTTCGCAGTTCTAGGCGGGTCCTCAGCGACTTCAGCGTCCACTCCATCCAGGTTTAGCAGCTCCTTTCCGCAAGCTGGAGCGCTCGCCACAAGGTTACGGGCTAAGAGGTGAGGAAATCATGTTGCCTCAGCACTATATCTCCACAGATCTAGATTAGACACTTGGAGAGCAACACAAGACAGAAGTAGCCCATGCGGTGGAAAACGACGAAGTGATGGGCTGTATGCAGGATGTAAGCCAGTAGGTGGACAAAGGCCTCTACCACGTGGTTCCGCCCCTCAACAGCAAGTTGGTCCTTTTTCTCACAGTCGGTGGAGTATGCAATCCTAACTTTTGGTACTGACGCGCAATGCCACCGAAAATCCTGCATGACTGCAGCGTACCAGAACACAATGATTCGCAAAGCGGAAGGTGCTTTGCGTCCTGCAGGATACTCAGTATCAACGATATTCAAGCGAGGTTTCCCAAAATCAGGGGTACACTCTTGGGTGTCCCGATAATAAGGATTATTGGGGTCCCCTTATTCTGGGAAACCATCAAATGGCAATCGCCCTTTTCTTTGCTGCTGGCCTTTTGCTTCAGGAGACAGCTGGATGCATGGCCACACTTTGGCGGCACTCAGAGTTCCATGTCGTCCTATGCATCAGGATAGCACATGGCCACATATTAAAGCAAAGGATGTCCTCATGTTCTGGAATCAGAAGGAGGTTGTATGTCTACCTTTTCAAGGCTCTGTAGGAGTGTAGAAATATTTAGGAAAATTTCCTACATAAAACTCTCTGGCTGTAACCCCAATATAACCCCCATATAGTCGTTTCCATTTTCTTTTCCATTATCCCAATATAACCCCAATATATACCCCAACATACTAGCCTAACTTTGGCAAGACCGGCATGATGGCGGCTTTGATGGTCTACACTTGTTGCGCTTCGCCTTGCTGGCTGTCAGAAGGGAATAAGCACTTGCTATTGCAGTCACAGCAACTTCCGAGTATGACCATCATGGGGCCCCTGTTTATGGGAACCCCCGATATCATCGCAGTGTCCATTTCAATGTCCATTTCCTCTTCCATTTCATTCTCCATTATTGAGGGAATATCCTAACCCCATATGACCCCATATAACCCCATGTCACCTTGTGAACCCCAATATAACCCTAAATAGCCTTATGTGGCCTTATATAACCCTAAACAACCCTAAATAACCCTAGATAACCCCCACATATAGCCTTGTGTAACCCTATATAACCCTCAATAGCCATATATAGCCCTACATAACCCTAAACAACCCTAAATAGCCCTAGATAACCCCCACGTATAGCCTTGTGTAACCCTATATAACCCTCAATAGCCATATATAGCCCTACATAACCCTAAACAACCCTAAATAGCCCTAGATAACCCCCACATATAGCCTTGTGTAACCCTATATAACCCTCAATAGCCATATATAGCCCTACATAACCCTAAACAACCCTAAATAGCCCTAGATAACCCTCATTTCTACCATGGGAACTTCCGAGCTGCCTTTGTGGTGACTTCCAGACCTGCAGCTCGCTGCTCGGCCACATGCCGCACCTGCAAGACAGAATTAAGGTTATATCGGTGAAGGTTTAGGGTTTTGGGGTCTTTGTACCCCGAGGACATAGGTTTCTTCGGTTTAGGGTTTAGGGTTGAGGGTTTAGGATTTAGGGTTTAGTAGCGTGTTCTTGTGGTTGAAACCAATGAGATTATGTTCTTCATATTGCCTATTCCGCCCCAAAGGAGGATATACCGCAAATAGAATACTCATTTGAGCAGATATGGGGTTATATAGATTTATAAAGGGTTCTATAAGGTTATATGGGTTTTACGGGGTTGTATGAGGCAATATAGTGTCCCGTAAGATTATACGGGGTAAGCTAAGTCCACAATGGAATACAAAGGCTATATCCGATATCACCCCAATTCCAGAAAACAAAATGGAAACTGGCATAAATGGGTGTTCCCATGAACAGAATTAAGATCGCAGGCTAAGTGAGGAATTGAGATCTCTTTTTTTGGACCGGGGTTTAGGGCTTGGGGTTTGCTTTGAGATGGGGTGATAGGTTTAGGATCTAGAGCTCCCTCAAGCTTCACCAGACTTGAAGCACACACACACACACACAAACACGGCATGCCAGGCTGCTCTGTAGCATTCCCAGCAGTCTGACTATTTGTTCTGTACTCTGGCTCTATGCCCGAAACCCTACAGAATATGGGATTTTATAGGGGTTATACAGGGATAATGGAAAAGAAAATGGAAACTACTATAATATGATAGGGCAGATATTGGGGTTATAGTCACTCTTAAGTAGATAGAATAACGTATATGTGGGGATGCTATTAAAATATGCCCATAGCCATATTCTATCTGCTTAAGGGAGACTATAAGCCCTGTAGCTCAGACCAGTCCATCTACCAGTTCCGTGTCCTTCGATCTTGCCCATTGCTACTCCCATTACGTCTATGCTAGGTTATTTGTGGTTGTTATAACTGTTTATATAGGGTTATACAGGATTACATATATATATATATGTATATACATAAATATATTGGGTTACATGTGCCGTTTACTGTTCTGATCTTGCATCTTTAGCATCGCCAAAGCTTGAAAATCATTCTAAAGGCAAAGGGTGCCTGCATGTCTTCCTGCAGCCGGCGGATGTCCTGGTTCATGGCCTGCCGCTTCTCTTTGCTGCCTCGGGACCCACAGGTTTGGGATTGCGGAGTAGTAAAGACACTCTTCTGTTCACTTCAAAAACAAGAAAGGCCGCCATCAAAAGGCAAGATTGAGGCCTCCCTGTTTGAAGGGTTTAAGGCATTTATGACCCGGTGTATACGAGACTAATTTTGTCACGCACCTGCATGCATGTAGTCAGGCCTCGTGTAGGCAGCTTTTGCCGCTCTCTCTTCAGAGCAGCCACTTTCGCCTTCAAGCAAACTCTAAGCACCGTGTAAGGCTTGTTGAATCCTGCTGAGGACAAAGATGTACTCTTTAAAGGGCCAGCTTCGCTGAAAAGATGTGCGCATTTTGGATTTTGACGTGGGCGAAAGCTATGGCTTTGCTCTTGCAATCTCCCTGTCAACGCCCTGCAAGCATGGCCAGGAATTTGCAAACATGAGAACAAGAAAGGGCTCCTTCCTTAGTGAGGTCAAGTCACTCAGCACAGAAGCAACCATGTATGCAACGGTGATTTACCTGCTCAATACTCATCATGGAGCCTCGATGCTGATGATCTTAGTCGCAGTGGCGCCGGGAAGAAAACGACAGCGGTAATTCTCAGAATAAGAATTGTGACAGGATTCAACTCCAAAGTGCAGCCAGGCAGAACCAGAATCTGGGGGCATGATGCTTGAGAAGTGGCCTTCATGGCTTTCCACTCTTCTGCCTGTCGCCTTCGCAACTCCTTCCCGCGTCTCTTGAAGCAACTGCTGTCACTCTCACCTGCATTTTCCTACCAGGCCACTTCAGGCTTCGTTTCGAGTCTTTGGAAGTGTCCACTCCTTCTCCAATAACCATGGAAAGGACATGATTGGTAATTATGACATCGGCTTCAGGCACTTGTGCATTTCAGCCCACAGTCCTCTTCACCCTCACTACCTCCAAGGCGGCAAGCATTGCAGAGAGAAAGCTAGCAGGTTCGCATCCAAGCTACTACCTGCAATGGGCTATCTTCACTTGCTGCAGCCGACTTTGCCAAACCTCCGTCTACCTGAGCTATAGTGCCCCTTTGATAACCCCTCTAGTACTCCCCTATATAACCCCATATACAACCCTCCTTCAAGGAGTTTAGACTATGGCATTGGCTCACCTGAAGAACACCCAAATTTCGGGTCGAGGAAGGCTTGCCTGCGACAGCTGAGTCAGCCACGCGCTTTCCTGAGCCAATGGCAAGCAGACAAGAGCCGCCTTGTCTGAGTTACCGTTTAGGAGCTTACATCAAATTACCATAGCGGGTACATATAGTTCTTCATCTGATTTCCCCAACATAGAAACCTAATTCTAAGTTCCTTAGCAGCTAAGTTAGCAGCAACCCCGTTGTGGGTAAAGCACTTAAAAAGCCCAATAGTAATGGCCCTGAATGAAGACATGACTGGTTATGAAGTATGGGGCTCCTTGAAGATTTGGTGGTTTCTCAAGATTAGGGGTACCTTTAAAGGGGGATATAGGGGTTATATAAGGTTACATGGGGTTCTATAGGGTTATAGGGTTTAGGGTTTCCCAAAATTAGGGGAACCTTTCTGGGGGTCCCCAGAATAAGGATTACAGTATATTGGGGTCCATATTGGGGTTCCCCTGTTTTGGGAAACTGCAAATTGGGGTGTCAAGGCATCCCTTGTGGTGGGCACACGGGTCAGGTGAAGAACACTTGTGACTTTGCGATGCTCCTCTGATTTCATAAAACTGATTGAGGCTTCCACCATTTCAACTCAAAACCCTAGATCCTAGATGAAACTCACAAATTCGAAGTCAATGGAAATCTCACAAGCCCGGATGTCATAAACCCTTTGTCCGCGGGTGAGGTAGTGCAGCCAGCTGGCGGCGCTGTTTCCTGGCTCTAAAAAGATCAAACTCTTTTAGCAAGATGGTTAAGCCTCAAAATCCTGTTTTTAGCGGATTTAGGGTTTAGGATTTGGGGTTTGGGGTTTAGGATTTGGGGTGTGCCTCATACCTCGGAAAGTATGGTATTTTCGTCTACTCGGGTCATGCAGGATCTTCATTTTCAAGGAGGAGCGGCCTGGAAAGGGTCCGGGATAAGGGCTGAGGTGTGAAGTATGACTCCAATAATTCTAGCCATACAATTCTAGCCATACCAGGAGGCACACATGACTGTAGAGTCCCCCCAGAAGGATTTAATTATGATTCTAGGCAATTCCACATTCTATCTACTTGAGAGAGACTGTAATACCAGTTGTCCAAGACCAGATTTTGTAGTTGCGGCTTTGGATCTCAGCAGCTTATCTTGCCTCTGTGGGTCTTGGGCCAGCGATGTCGTAAAGGTTGACAATGCTTGACAAGTTTTCTAAGGGTCCGAATACCAATAATTGGGTACTAGGAATTTTTGTACTAGTGATTCCAGTATACCTTTGGAGTAAGTACATAATTCTTGGGTACTCGGACCCTTAGGGATTACTACGTTTCAAGGCATCCTCCAAGGAACCCTGGAAAATGTAGTCCCAGAAAAGGATCTCAAGTCTGGAGAACCTCGCCAAAGCCCAACGGGTCCATGTACCTTGCCTAAACCCTAAACCCTACACTGTAAACCCTCAACCCTCAACCCTAAACCCTAAACCCTAAACCTTAAACCCTAAACCTTAAACCTTGAACCCTGAACCCTAATCCCACAACGGAGGCTGCTCTCCTGGATTCAGGCACAGCTTTCGCTGGAGTTTGTGCTGCGGCTTTTCGCCGCCGGCCTGCCGCAGGCTTGAAGAGAACTTCTCATCACTATTCCTATGAAACCCTCAAGGGGTTTAGGGTTTAGGGTTCCGGTTTAAGGTTTAGGGTCACTATTCCTATGAAACCCTATAGGGCTTATATGGGGAAAATGGAAACTGCTACAGCAAATTGGGGTTATATGGGGATGATGGAACAGAGAATGGAAACTATTGAAATTGTCTAGGGTTCTATAGGGGTTTTATATCGGGCTAATGGCAAAGAGAATGGAAACTACAGGGGTTATAGGGTAACATAGGGGTCAAACCCTCAAGGTGCAAGCCTGTAACTTTTATTACTATTATTACTACTACAACTATTATTACGATTATCACTATTACAACTATTATTACGATTATTACTATTATTACAACTATTACTATTCTTGCTATTGTTATTATGACTATCATTACTATTGAAAAGCCACCATGATAGTGGTGAACGAAACATGCCATTCAGCAGGACATAGCGAAGCAACTTCCGGGCTCATGGTTGGAAAATTGATTAGGGGTCATATTAAGGGTTTCCCAAAACTAGGGGTACCCTTTTTGGGGGTCCCCATAATAAGGACTATAGTATTTTGGGGTCTATATTGGGGTCCCCTCATTTTGGGAAACTATCATATTAAGGGCTATAAATAACCATCTCCTAAATATCACCCAACTGTTATGGAGTGGGGGCAGTACCCAAACTTGCAAAGACCGACAAAAAGAGACTTCTTCCTAGCTACAAGCAGGCTCATTAAAGAGCAGCTAAGGTCTGCCCCTTCGCTTTCTGCCACGGTAATGGCTCTGGTTGGAGGGGACTACTCAGCCGAATTTCCTCTGCGGAGCACTCCACCCAGCCTAGTCGTGAAGCGCTATTTCATCCAGGGGCATACGTGTAGCAAAAAAAGGGGTTGGCACAGGGAGAATCCTCTATGTAAAAAATGGGAGTATACAATCACTTCCAGTTGCTGCCTGTTGCACATAATTTTGCTGTCACAACTTCTGGACCCTGGCACTGGGAGCTGGGCTTTTGTTGATGGTCTTCTTGACTTTGGCATCCTGCGTCTGGATGCAAGTAATAATGGCAGGCGTTTCATGGTTTACTCAGAAGATGCTTTCCGGTGCCTCTCTAGCATGCTTATGTGAACCTCACCGTCCGCCAGATCAACAGTTAGGGGGTCCTTCCCCACGGGCGTCATGACCACATCGCCCTTGCTTTGGGCTTTGCCCTTCTTTCGAGGGGCCATGGGCGATGCTGCTGAGGCCTGGGCTACCAAAAAAATCAAAAATACTTCAAGGAACAAGACAAAACTGTTCCCAAAACGGCATCTCTGCCCAGGCGCTGCCTGCTTCCAGGGAGGTCTGCTATGGCAATGGCGCTTCCAGAGTGATGCCGCGGTTTTCTTAATCCCGCCTGAATCTGTGACTCCTTACCCCGCTCTATTCCCAAATCTGTACATGGCCACCATCTCCACAAGGATGTGCTAGCCGCCCACATGAGAGCTAAAGTGCATCAGAGTGATGGAAGGCTTAGCTTCTGTATACCCATGCCCGCGTCTTATGCAAAGCTGCGCTGGGCAGGTGTCGCTGGAGCCGAACGCGGTAAACGATGTGTCCATGTGAGGGTGTAGCATCAGGGTATATAGGGGCGTGTCGGATTTGGGGATATTACCCCAGCAATGAGGTCAATGTACACGTGCACCCATCTCCACAAGCTGGTGGTAGATAGAATACAGACATCTAGGAATACTCAGCGTATATGTGTGTTTATAATCATTGTAGCCCATGTACTCCAGGGCAAACAACTCAAGAATGATTGCTCCAAAAGACCAGAGATGCAGAAAGTGCCTCTGCTACACTACAGCTACAGCTGTCAGGACTTACAAAGACGTGTCCTCGTCAAAGAAGTCGTCCACCCTCAAGGTTGCCTGCGTGAAGCAGCTCAACACCTACTATGTTTGGGTGATTGTCATAATGGATTGTAATACACGATGAATACTATATTATAATGCAGTATAATCTATGGGTGGTTGTTCAAATGATGGTCCTTTTTTGGATCCCTATCTTAATGCGGCACTTAATATCTAGGGTACCCAAAAAGGGACCATAATTTTGACAACCACCCGTTTGTTGGTTGTGACATCTACGCGATGCTAGGACTTGTTACAGACGGAGAACAGATTCAAGCAGCTTTGAGCTCACCATCACTTGTGTAGCACATACAGCCTCGTAGTACTCCATGTGCTGCTGCCACAGCAACTTCTGCCATGCCTCACACGGGTACACTTTGGGGAATGACTCAGCAATGTCATCTACTGACACCAAGCAAAAGCAAAAAAAAAATCAAAGTAAACAAATCTCACGCTCAAACCTCGTCCTTGCGCAAAACGTAAACAATATCCCTCAAATCTAGCTCCTGAATTGTAAGCAGTCAGCCTACCAAAACAGTACTCAGTCCTCCCAAAGCCCTGAACCGCAAGTCCCTCCTCAACGCCTCCTGAGGTTGTCAAACCCTGCTCAAATGCTTGAACCTAGATCCAAGACCGGCAATGCACCCCCTGCTGCCAAAAGACCAGCTGTGAATTGAAAATGCGAATCATCACAAGCGTAGCACTAGCTGTTGTATACGGATTAAAGGAATAGGTCGCCAAAATGGTCTGTCCCCCATTTCCCTACTAAGCAGTCAGTAGCAGTACCCAGAACACACTGGTAAACCTGAGCAGCCAGGCGAGCAATGTCCTGTTGCATGGCTCCAGCGTGAGTAGCTGGGCTATGCCGTCCAACACCTGAGGGGCTCAGCTTCTGCGGGGTCTTTGTCCTGACTATTATTACTACTAACACTCGCATAAGCATGGTGCATGGAGGTTGGAGGTACAGGTACAACTCATCCTGCAGCCAATCTCCATTGGAAAACTTGCGATCCTTCAGACAACCATCCTGGCTGATTACATGCTTCCCCACTACATTCTTCAAAAGGTCGGAGCTCCAGATTGGGTTTGCCCCTTCGACGGCCCTCAGTGCGTGTAAATCAGCCACTGAAGATCCCAACTGCCCTCAGGCTGCAGTCTCTAGTTCAGATTGGCACCTGCGCTGGAGGTAGCTTGCCCACCACTGGCGACTCCTGTGCTACCAGTGTGGTGAGGGGACGGAATTCTAAGCTTCAGGCAGTTGACGGGTTGGGTCTACAGCCCTAAACCCTAAAACCTAAACCCCCTACACCCTAAAATCCCTCAACCCTAAAATCCCTAAACCCTAAAATCCCTAAACCCTAAAATCCCTAAACCCTAAAATCCCTAAACCCTAAAAGCCCTAAACCCTAAAATCCCTAAACCCTCTAAAATCCTAAAACC